TTTGCTGATGTGTTTGCCAAAGGACACATTTGCAATTATCTCAATGGCTTAAAACGCCCTCCAGGCTTTTTCAATACAGGTTACAATGAGGCACCTATAGCATTTACAGGCAGCTCCACTGGTCAGATTTCATTGCTGCATTTCAGTAAAGCCTGCATTCCATCACAGCTCCACCGAGCCGTTCAGAGTCAATGTAAAATGTGCCACAATGAAAGTAAAACTGAGCACCACATGTATATATAAGGATGTTTTTTGGAGAAACTATTTAAAAAAAAACAGAAAAGAAAAACAGAACTTACTTGAATATGCTCTGCAGCCCTCCCCAAAAAAACTACTTGACTTTTCTGTGCCTTAAGCCTCACAAGCAGAGTGGTGTTTGAGCTGTTTCCCAATCTCATGTTCTACTGTTACCTCTGGAGTAGAATATAAATGATTCCCTCTCAGTGTACAGTGTATGCCAAGGGGCCTGCAGCGACCATAGTCCGGTCTAAAATTCCTCACTGCAAGCACACCATAACTCAAGGCCTGACTGATAAATAAACAATGGAAAGTGCAGCATATTGTGCAGCACTACCACAAATCCTCCACTTGGAGCACTGTCACATATTACAGCCCAATCACCACGAGGTAAGTACAGCATTTGATGAAGTTTGGTGTAAAACTGTTGACAAAAGAGGCAAGTAAAGTGTAGCCGTTCTGCTGCATGGTGCATGTGAGCTGTGCGGCTCTGACAATGGCATTGTTGGTTGGTCTGTTGTTAAACCACTTTTGTAGGGACTTTGGTACAGCATTAAGTGTGTAGACATTAATGGTTCCCAAACATTCTTTCCATAGTGGTGTTAGTGATACCCTCACCAAGGTTGACATTTATAGTTAGAAGTGAAATAGCTCAACAGCTATTGTATGTATTTCCATTAAATGTCATCCATCCATCGATCCATTCATCTTCTCCCGCTTATCCGTGGTCGGGTCGCGGGGGTAGCAGTTCCAGCAGAGAGCCCCACACTTTCCTTTCCCTGGTCACATCAACCAGCTCTGACTGGGGGATCCCAAGGCGCTCCCAGGCCAGCAAAGAGATATAATCCCTCCACCTGGTCCTAGGTCTACCCCTCGCTCTCTTCCCAGCTGGACGTGCCTTGAACACCTCCCTAGGGAGCGCCCAGGTGGCATCCTTACTAGGTGCCCGAACCACCTCAACTGGCTCCTTTCGACGCGAAGGAGGAGCGGTTCAAGTCCCTCCCGGATGACTGGACTTCTCACCTTATCCCTAAGGGAGACGCCCGCCACCCTGCGGAGAAAACCCATTTCGGCCGCTTGTATCCGCGATCTCGTTCTTTCGTCATGACCCATCCTTCATGACCATAGGTGAGGGTAGGAACGAAAATGGCCCGGTAGACAGAGAGCTTTGCCTTCTGGCTCAGCTCTCTTTTCGTCACAACAGTGCGGTAAAGCGACTGCAGTACCGCCTCAGATTTGGAGGTGCTGATCCTCATCCCAGCTGCTTCACACTCGGTTGCGAACTGATCCAGTGAGTGCTGAAGGTCGCAGACCGATGAAGCCATTAGAACCACATCATCTGCAAAAAGCAGTGGTGCAATCCTTAGTCCACCGAACTGCAGACCCCCTCCCCCACGACTACGCCTCGAAATCCTATCCATGAATATTACAAACAGGATTGGTGACAAAGCGCAGCCCTGGCGGAGGCCAACCCTCACCGGAAATGGGTCCGACTTACTGCCGAGGACCCGGACACAGCTCTCGCTTTGGGAGTACAGAGATTGGATGGCCCTGAGTAGAGACCCCCTCTCACCCCATACTCCTGCAGCACCTCCCTGTAACTCCCTGGGAACCCGGTCATACGCCTTCTCCAAATCTACAAAACACATGTAGACCGGATAAGCGTACTCCCGGGCCCCCTCCAGGATCCTTGCGAGAGTAAAAAGCTGATCCGTCGTTCCACGACCAGGACGGAATCCGCATTGATCCTCCTCAATCTTCAGGTTCAAATGTCATACAGACAGTAATCTCCCCCCTCAGGATATATTAGGAAAACTTTGGTGATCCTCTTGTGAAACTATTGGCATTCCCATCAACAAACACAAAGTAGCCTACGTTGTGTTTGGGGCCAATAGGCAGCCTAACATCATCATGTTAGCGACGCGTTGCCATTGTGAACATGTGTTAGCATGCTAACTACAGCCTCACAGAAAAACAGGTCTTGCTGTAGTGTAGACTATATGTTTTTTTTTTACATTAAGGAAAGGACTAGGATCCAGTGTTTTTGATGTTTGACCTTTTTATGAGGTTAATGTATGTGATTCTTAGATTCTGCTGGATTGATTTGTCGTTTGGCCTAAGCGTCTATGGTAACATGTGTCTTGCAAGTGTATCACTTAAAGTCCTGAGTATCTTAAAAATCCTTAAAAGTGGTGTGGAGGTACTATTTAGGAGTCCCAGAAACTATATTAGAAAATTAGGAGATACATGGTGTGACTGTCAGAAGGTAGTTCTCAGCTTTTTTTAATGTTGTAATTTGGTCGTTTAGCCTTCCACTTCTATTCTCACTATGTGTGTGCTGCTCCCAGAATATCTTGTAAGGCCACGCTGACAAAACCACCATCAAAGCTTACTGGGTTACAATCTGTTAAACATTAAAAGTGGATTATTACAAGTTGCCTTGGGCTCCTACAAAATAAAAAACTTGGGGGACGTTAAGGATTATGTGTTAATGTGGTACTGCAGAAACAAAAGCAAAAGGGATTTTTCTTTCATACAGCCTTCTCCTTAAGTAAGTTCAAGCCCAAGAACCCATCAATACAGGTTACACTTTTTGTATTAAGACATTATTCTATAACTCAAGCAAAGCCACTGTGACATATTATTCTACTAGCGAGTGTCCATTTGAGATATTATCCTACCAGCAATTGTCCATCTAAGAACATTTAAATCCCCAATGACTGTGCAGGCATTCATCACACAGATTAACTAATTTCTCCACTAGGAATAATGGCTAGAAATATGTGGCCATTATATTATAATAAAGGTATTTATGAGCCTTCAATCTCACAGCCTCACTATGAGATATCTTTGAACATTTGAAATCAGCTCCCGAGGCTTTGGGAGGGGGAGGAATGGAAGAGAGAGAGGGTGAGAGGGAGAGAGACAGAGAGCGGGTGAGAAAGAGAGAGAGAAATGGCAAGGGAGAGATGTGGGAGTTGTGTTTTGCTTTTTTGCCACGGGTTACATTTATAATTATCTTGCTGGCATAAAATGGCCAAGGGGCTTTTTCAATAAAGGTAGGAGGCACCTACAGTACAGAATATTACCTACAGATCAACACAGCACAAGAGAGGGGACTGCGGAGAGAATAGGACTACATCCAGAGTATAAAGTGTATCATCTTATAAGTGTATTTAGTTAGGACATTCATTAGGAACAGGAGCCACTGCTTGCACAGCGCTTTAAAGAAGCGAGCATTGTGAGGGCTGATGATTTGAAGACGAGGTGAATGAGTCCATCCGCTGACCTTCACTAGTGGTGAGTAAGCAGAGCCTGAGGAGCGAGGGAAAGATGGCCACGGCCACTTTCTCCAGGCCCTACTCTGCCTTTTGATGACTGGAAATAATCACTAGCGAGAAAGCGAGTGAGAGAGACATGATCACAGACACACCAGAGAAAAGAGGAGGATCTCAAATTACTTTATTCTCCTCAAAACCCCCTGTCCTCTAAAGGACTGGAAGTCAGCCTCTTAATGCCATTCATCTTTTCTCCAACAGGCTGTGACCGCAGAGGAGGATATCTCTAATTCCTTTTCAAGTTACTGTGAATCCAGGAAGTGAGAAGAGATAGGGCTGGACAGAGTCTCATTATATCCGGCTGCCCCACAGGTAACACACTTAAAAATCACAAAGGGTGCACAAAAAGTAGCTGAATTTTCAACTAAACACATGTTCATTCTCTCTCTTACACCACCCTTAACAGGATTTTATTTTAGGAAAGCAATGTTTATTTTTTATGGACAACCATTGGGGAACTTTCGACCCTGATACACTATATCTTCATTCTTACATAACTGTTATTGATATGTATTATAGGAATTTTGGTAATAACGGGTATTTGCTTTCATGCTGAGAGTTGATGTGATTAAAGGATTGTTATCACGTTCAAGTGTAAATTATATCATCTCCCTATTTAACTCTTGGCAAGAGAAATTATATTTTCCCATACAATTCCTATAAAGTCTTTGCAACTGATTAACTAGCCTTTCATATGTTGCTCATTTAAAATAATCAATAGTCAAAGAATTTGTGGAATGATTGTTACTTGTTTTAAATACCCATCAGTGATATACTGCCTTCAACAACTGAGTCCTGAGTTGAACTTTTTTGAGTCTTCAAATATTTTTAGCTGAGTGTTGATGTGTTGGATGCTTGCTCCATGAATACTTTGATTTTATGATTGAGAGCAAAGCATTGCCGTGTACCACTCACAGTTGCACCTCTAGCCTATGAGAATAACAGTCAGTCAAAAGGGAATCTGGGGCAAAGAGGCCTGAAAGGGAGACATATAGCATAAACCGTAGATAGCCAAAGAAAGTGGAGATTCTGCCAAAAGGGATGAAGACAAGACGACAGGGCTCCGTGTGGGATTTCACTTTGGATTTTGGCCCTGCAGGGATATGTGGAAGCACAACTGACAGGACTTGCGTGGAGAAGTCGGCTCTATTCAATATAACTAAGTAAAGAATGCCCCATGTAGTCACTGCTGCACCAGCATAAATCCTCCAAGGTAAAGTGCCTTGGTAAAGTTAGCTTTACCTTTTTGTAGGGAGCTAACATACTACATTATGTAAAAGCAGTGTTTTGCCACTGAACACACTCTGGATGCTAAAAAGGATTTTAAGATGTAGGATAAATTCAAATGTAAGGAATAATTATCTAACCATGCAGACTTGTTAAAGCACTCCCTACAGCGATGTAAAACAGCGAACAGACACCATGACAACTGTAGTTGAGATTTATTTCACATTTTGTGCTACATTCCTCTTTACTCAAATCTAGGGAGCGTAGGTGGGTCAGTCATCTTAGAAATACTTTATATCCAACTTCATATCAATATGTGCTACGAGTAAAAGTGATCTTGGAGTGGGTAGTACAATAAGCTTTAATCTGTTCAGTCTTGTCCAGGCAACACATTTGTTTTAAAAAGATTAAATGTAAAAAACACAAACACGTATACAATGAAGAGTTTACAGGTCATGACTCTGAGGAATATTATGATCCAATTAAATGATCCCCAAAGTAGCACATGGGGGCTAGTATTCATACTCCCCAATGAGGCCAATGCTGTGATATTATAATTTACTAAATTATTTTCTTTTCTGCGTATAGAAACCTATCTTTGAGGTTTAACTTTGATGGCACTAATGTCAACTATATGTTATGGCATAATCAAAAAAAAAACTTTCAAGTAAAAAAAGAAAACACTTCATTGGTATCACAATATTCAACATCATGTGATTTGTGAAAAATTATGCTTTGTTGAAACTAACTGTTTATGACAACTGAGACATTCTGTACTGTCACATATTAGTGACCTTTTTACAGCAAGGGATAAAAACAGACTTAGCCAATTTGCCAGTGAGACATCAAAACCAAGTCACTGGTGACACGTAATGTCACATACTACATAAGAAATAAAAGCCTTTTTTAAATTTATAAGGGTATAATAGAAATCATATTCAACCTAATGTAGGCTCCAAGTTTTAAAACAAACTTTGTTTTGGGATCTACCGTAAATAAATCCCTTTTTAAATTGGTTTATGGGGGGCTAGACATTCAAAAATGTCCTTGCAATCTCAAACTTATCAAATGTCTTGTCTCTTCTTATGGCAAAAAATCTCCTGTTGCATTTCATTTTTATTTTAGATGGTTCTCAAGTTTAAGAAAACAAAAACATCAACAAGGAAACGAAGAAAAAGTGAGTCCTCAGAGCTCTGCAGCTTCAAGCGTTTGGCTGCCACAGAAAAGTCTAGCACCTCCTGCTGCTCGGGAAGTTTCTAGTCCAGCTGCTCCTGCTTTATCCTGTTTGAATTGGATCCTCGCTGACTCGTCCTCCTCAGTTCCCTCCTCAGGACGTACTCGCTGAATTGGGATGAATCAACGCCGCCGCCACAGGAGCCGGCGATATCGAAACCACGTTGTTGGAGACGCTCTAGAACCTGAAAAAGGTAGAAAGAGGAAGGTGTCAGAAGCAATACATCAATCACGAAGGAAAATGCTTCATAAGAATACTTTTTCAACACTCTTGTGACAGGAAGTGCTTACTCCTATCTTTGATAATCACTGCCAACCTGGAAAATCCTTCATGGAGGTCGGTCACTTTCCATAAAATGTGGTGCTAAGACATTTAACTTTAGTTTACTACTGCAAAACAGGAACCCACAAATCCCAAACTTTTGTAGTTACACACTGCACAGAAACAGCTTTAGGAGTAAGTTGCATCATATGGACAGTGACGGGAATTTGGATGAGACTTTCACAAAACTAAGAGCCTCTCGTTTGCCTCATGCCTCCTTTTCATTGTTTTCTGGTGTACATGTGTGTTTGTCTGCGTGTGTGTGTAGCTGTTCCTGATCTCGCAGCCTTGCAGACATCTACAGACGTGTCCGGGGGGCCAGTAGGATCACATTCCATCGAAGAGGCCCCAGGGAGCAGTGAGGCTTTCTCTCTGCCACTTGGCTCAGTGTGGGCCGCTGAGCAAAACCCCCTCTCCCCATTTCTCCCCTAGCCCCCAGGCCCAAGCCTCCGCCAAAACTACAAAGGTCCCCCTACTGCTGGCAGCTCTCTCTGCCCCCCTTCCTTCTCTCAAAACCCCCGCCCTGCCTCCATTAGCCGCAGATACAGCATCCACCGCCGGCGTGCTTTAATAACCAAACAGGATTATGGGCCCTGCCTGGGGACAACCTGCCAGGGAGCATGCTCACTCTCTTGCTCGCTCTCCACGACTCACACACTCCAGAGACGGGTTTGTTTGTGTGTTTTTTGGGAGGGAGATGGAGACACAGTCCAAGTTATTGTGAAATCTTTTCAATTATGCCTCTCCTCCATTGTTTATTGATGCGCTTTTGGAGATGTTACCATCAATGAATGAGTGGAATATCAATATATAACCGGGGAACTACAATATTGCCAAATACATGCTGAAAATAAAAGATGGATTCAACATAATTTAAGTAATGTAGAACTTTGTTTAAGTCTTACAAGTATGGATGGAAAAGTATCATATTCAATCCTATGAACAGTATATATAAAAACATATCTTTGAATGGTTATGATAAAGTAATTTGCTGGAGGTTTGCTTCCATAGAAAATACCCTCATATGGCCTGCACAGCCTCAAAGAATTGTTGGTATTCAATTACTTGCATCTGCCGGCAGTGGGGGACCGGAGTCTTCTGGATCTGCGTAACTACTATTTGGTAAGAGATTTTAGAAAAAATGTGTTCTGCTGATTTGCTTCTTGGATGTAACAAACACAAATATGTGAAGTTGCTTGGCTTTAATTAAAAAATGAGCATAAATCCAACAACCCTCTAAAACACTCGGGGGAATCATCACAAGTCTACTTAAGAGTGTCACTGCAAACTGAATTGCCCACTTCCTCTTACTGTGAGCCAGTTTTCCCTAAGTTTGCACATTCATGTAACTCTCCACCCAATTCAAGGTGTCGGCCATTCCTTTACTAAATGGGTTGAAATCCACCATTTACCAATTTGCTGTCCCTTTTTCTGCGGGTCGGCACTGATGCCAGCTTTAAAGGGAAACTTTGAAACAATCACGCCCACACAGATGAAAGCTGGATGAGACGAGGACCATATTATAAGTGCTACAATGGTATGTATGAAAGCATGCGTTCCACCATCTCGAGAGCCAAACTCCAAATTATTATTCCGGTCAGATCTTAAAAAAGTAAAGATGGTGGTAGACTTGTGTAATGATGGCTTGCTAAATTGATGCTTTGATGAACTCATCAAAGAACTCATTTTTCCGCAAGGCTGTTCTTGTGACTTGATTAGATTAAATAAAGATAAGATTTTGCAATCAGACATCAGGAACATTTCTTAAAGTCTACATTATAACGGCAGATGAAAAAAGTTGAATGATCATCACCTCAGTCAATCCCTTGGGCCTTTAACTCAATCGAAAAAAATAGAAAAACAAACCTAACGAACATTTGAATGTAAATACTTATTGAGGAATACACCCACAGTATAGCGCTCTGTTTCCCATTACCTGCACAGAGTTGAGGTGGCAGTATCCATTAAGTGGGAATCGGATGACGTGCGTGGAGTCATGGTTCCACCCAGCATTCACGGAGTTGCACATGACGTCACCAATTTCCGGAAACACGTCTTCAATCAGGGCTTTGTCACCGCTGAGCGTGATCCTCTCGCCCAGGTCAGGTGCAACTCGCACCACCAAACACTCGCAGGGGCGCGACACCCGGCTCAGATCCTGATCATGGCGCCAGTTGTCCAACTCAGCAAGCATGGGCTGCAGCTGGAAGTACCGGGCCTCCTCATACAGCAGACTGAAGTCCTGCAGGAGACGGGCACAGGGTGCTCACAAATTAGTATATTATGTTTATTATCTAACACGTGCTGTTTTATATTGCAATTTTGTCAACTCTTACTTTGCTAGGTTAACCAACAACAACAAGTTTTGTCATCAGTCGCCTACCATTAGTTTTCTTTAAGGTAGACTTGGGGCAAATAGGTTTAAACCACTCACAATATAGTTTACTATCAAAAATGTCCTGTCAGCTCTTCACTGTTTCTTGAAAAGGGTTACAAAAATGTAATTGAATATGAGTTTATTATTCTCAGAAACTGTAAAGGTGTCAGGTTAAAAGGCAGTCAGAAATCTTGCATACTGTATATACATTTTAAAAAAAAGAACAAGGTGAGACAATTAAGTGGCTTGGTTTTGTGAATTGCATTAAGATCATTTGTAGAAAAGTATTATTAGATTAAAAGCTTTTTATTTACCGATACCTAATATGCCAAAAGCCTATAATCTCTTCTCTGTTCTTTCATTCATTTAAAAAATAAATAAAGCTTACTAATAGAAGGACAGTCTTCTCCAGTAGACTACACTGAATGGGCTAAGGCCGGTAGCCAAAATGCAATCTTGCTATACTAGAGAGCCAAATAACCTAAAAACAGAATAAGATAGTCCGTTTACGGTAGTGTTTTACTTTCTAATGTGGATTTGAACCAAATAAGAGACAACAAGGAAGTTTGAAAACCACTGTTCTACATGAACGAGCAATAAAGCCTTGCGAAGACACCATTCAGCTACAATTACAAAAGATCCAGTGTAGAGGAGATGTAGTGCGACATGTAACACAGGGTTGCATGGGGTAGAGGAGCAGATCCTTTACCCGCAGGACTGCAGGGCCTAAATCCCACCACATTCAAGTTTTCTCATGCGCCTCTCTAAATCTACTCAACGTGAACATAGCCTGAGCTTGAACTCAAGTCTGTCTTTTGTCTTTGCTTATTTTAACTGACATGCTTTCTACTGATTGAGTCACACTGTGGACAGTCCATCAGATAATGTGGTTATTTGTTTTCTCCCAGGGCAAGTTAAGTAATTACGGACTAAATGACACATAAGAGTAAAAAAAAAAGAAGGAATGCTAATGTGTCACATACAGTGAGACTCACCCTGGATGGACACTTGGCTTGAGATCACAGAGCGCTGATGAAATCTAGCACATGCAATGTGGTCGTGGGCGCCAGAGCATTTATTTATTTGTCTTGATGCAAGCTTATTGTTTTCCTTGTCTATATCAAAACATCTTTGGACAATGAGAGCTGGAGGGGACCAAATCTCATCCCATGATGAGTAAAGGCATTATGATTGAGCTTTGTTTGCCCTGATATTTTGTCCCCCGCATGGGAAACATTTTCTGCAATTCAAAGAGGACCAACAACCAAAGGCATTCCACGGCCTTAGCATTCATTGTGTGCGCTAAGTTGTAGGACTGCTGACTGGCTGATGGGACTTTCACAGTTTTTTTAGGATGGCCATCCACTCACTTTGAAGTCTTCTGGGATGAGGAGCTTGGACGTCCTGAGGAAGTTGAGGATGTAGCGGAACATGTGTCCATCCCTGTCAATGAAGTAGTGCTGCTTCAGGCTGTCCAGGACTATAGGCTCTGTGCCATCAAAGAGACGACCGATTCTACCCACAGAGAAGGAGGGGGGGGGCAGAAAAGGAGGGAGGGAGGGAGGGGGACAAAATGTCAACATTAACAATCTTACATTCAAGATTTTTGCAAGCACAAGTCTATAGAATCGGCATTTTCAGTATATTTCTCTTTAGCTTGTGTTTTTTGCACCTTGCATTGTGGGAGAGAAGAGAGGGTAAACGGAAGATAGAGAGGCAAGAATCATACAGTTAAGCAAGAACATCTGCAAAGGGCTCTGACTCATTCAATTTCCCAAGCTCTGAAATGTTTTTCACACTTTTGCACAGACATGAACACATGAACAGATTAGCAAGCTTGATACAACCATCCACCATGAGAAAAGAAGGAAAGAATAAGGAGAAAGAAAGAAAGAAAGAAAGGAAGAAAGGAAGAGAGAAAGGAAGAAAGAAAGAAAGAAAGAAAGGAAGAAAGAAAGAAAGATTAAAAACAGAGGTGGTCTGAAAAGGTCAGGGCCAGCTGGTGATTGGTTGCCTGAGGCAGGGTGCCAGTCACCCCCGGGCCCTGGCTGGGAGCGACAGTGAGGCCTCGCAGCCTCCAGATGGCCCCATGCCCTTTGGCCCTTTACTGCTGCTGTGACATCTGTCAGAATAACCAAGTTGCTTTTGTCTGTGCACTGCATTCTGAACTCCTAAATTGTATACCCCCTAAATAACTGTTTTCTTCACTTAAGACGGGGGAAACATTTTGTGAATTTAAAAAGCAACTGATGCTGCAGATTTGTTGGATAGAAGCAGTAAACATTTCCTTTATACTCCGTTTTTGCACCAAGTGCACCCATGAGATATTTCTGTGATTTGATGGGATGTGACATTTGGCTGTTTAATGTCACAGGATGACATTCTAACGCTGATACATCCGGCTTTAAAAAGAAAATGTGTAAGACGCTGCGCCTTCCACAATATGCTCTCCTGTTTCAAGCAAAATACTAGACACAAAAATAAAAACACTAACATTATCTCCATCACACTTTAAATACAGGTGCATGGTATAGCAGACTCACCGGGATTCTGGGAATTTGGTTAAGGTGGCCAGACTGCTGGTGTACATGTGTCCGCCCACATCAATGTGCACAGGCGCATTGGATTTGGTGAGCTGTGCAGGTGCTGGGATGCCCTGGTTGCTCAAGGGAGACACCGGTGATCGTGTGATCATGGGCCTGGACATACTGCAGCGATTATCCTGCAAAACATGTAACAAAAGAGAAAATGTTAAGACAGATAGATGTATGAAATTCAGTTTTTCTCCTGCATATCAAGATGTACTATAAAAAACACAACCACAGGGGACTTGATAAGTACGATTTAAATTGGAAAAAATAATTAGACTCAACAATTCCTGTAACAAAACACACTTCACAGTCACGAGTGAAGATATTATTCTCTGCAAGTTAGAGCAGCCTGACCTTGACCTGAATGTTGCCACAGCCCGCAAGCATCCACTCCTGTGGGCCATAATCTCCAAAACCAAATTAATTTGGAGCATCAATCTCATAGTCTTGGAAATTAGCAATAATGACTCTTGATTTGAACAGGGTAATAGGATTTGGTGAAATTGTCGCCTGTTAACCTACAAACACCATTAGGAGACAATTTCTGTCAGGGCTCTGAGGAGAAAATTACTTTACCCCTCAAAAGTTTAAGACCTTGGGTGGAGATGGAAGAAAATATGTCTGTGACATCTCTATGACTTAGGGTGATTAAATATAACATATTTCAAAAACATTTTAAGAAAATTATTTTAAAAGGGTTTAATGTAAATGAAAACAGGAAACGGGACTGGGGGTGCGTGACAATAGTGCGCACTCCACATTTAAGGACAGCAGGAAGACAATGTATTCACATACTGCATTCAATACAAGCAACGTGTCGCTTCTCAAGCAGAAGTGACACTACGACCCCAGACACTTTCTACCCCAGTAATTTCCTCTTTTTTTGTTCGCAATTTCAGACTTTTACGCGTTTACCTGCGGCGGCATCACTGTGTTTGGAGAGGAAGTCAACGAGTGGTCATTTTGTTTGAGAGATGCTCCGTGGACCGGCTCTCCTCTGTACATCAGAGAGGGCTCCCTGCACTCCGACGCTCGGATCGGGAGCCGTTTGAGGGGAGCGTGCATGGACTCATCCACAGAACTGATTGGACGCGGGCGCTTTCTCGCTTTCTGGTGCGTTAAATCCATGATGTCCGTTTCGTCCATTACAGCGCAGACGTTGAGGTTAAGAGATAGGACGCGGTCGGCTTTTTCAAACGCACCTGCCAAATGTGGAGAGGCGTAAAAAGCGGGGTAGCGATCACCGGGGGAAGAGCGGCGCCGTTGCTGTCACACAGAGCAGCTTCTGTGCAATGGCTGGGAGAAGTCAAAGCCCCCGACAACATTAGCATTGTAGCGCCCGGGGCTCTATTGGGCTGTCGCTGTTTCAGTAGCAGGTATGTGCGTCGCATTTTCAGGATAAAACAAATCCTACTCAACAAGAAAGTATAGTCTGGTTTCGCGATGTGGGTCCACGCGCACATCTGGACCTGTCACTGCTGGCCTTTGCCCTTTTGGAGCAGAGTTTCTGCGCGCATCACACTCCTCCTGATGTTGCTGCCCATTGATCAGCAGGTCATCCCTCCTTCAACACAACACACTCACAAAGTCCAAAGTGGTGACCAGCCCACTCAACTACCTGGACATAAATGTCCCCACAACACCCTCCACCCACACACACACATCACTAAGAAGCACCTGACTGATCATGAGTTTTCTAATCACACAAAAGCAGCTTGTTATAGTTTTTTGTTTTTTTTGCATTTTTTTGCATTTTTTATTAAAGTGCATAAACACTCTTTAAATTTCAGAATTAAAAATAATAACTTTAGTGCCTTTTTTGCACATAAGAAGAACATCACTGCTAAAGTACCAGCTAACATTGCTTAAAAACAGAACTATGTCCCTCCCTTTCTCATTGGCTAAATGCCTGATTAACATCAATGTAACTGCAGGATGTCTGCAGTGTGTAAACAACACCTCCGCTGACCACATCAGCATTGCAAAACCACACAAATGACATCATGGATTATAAAACCAGACCCCAATATGTCCAATTGCTGTTAAAAGTACTGCCACAGCACTCTCCTGGGCTGTTTTCTTCATAGAAAATGCAGGGAATCCACACATTTTAATAACATTCAGATTAAAATTAATTAGTTCAACCACTGGCCTTAAAACATCCATATTCCTGCTTCTCATTGGCAGTGTGAGTTTCACACCTAGATACCCAATTAGCAATTAAGCTTGCCTTTGAGTGTAGGCCTCCAATGCGGTGTGTGATCCTGGTCTGATTTGCATGCCGCTTGTGCACGCGCTGATAAGCGCAGGCAGCAGCCATACATAGTTTTAAAATTCAACTCCAGAATCCCTCGCAGAAGGCAAAGGGGCCTGCAGGGCAAAAGAGAGAGAAATCACATGGCTGCTCTTCAAAAGGGGACCTGTGTAAGGCAGCCGGCAAAGTGCGTGGGATCACACTCAGAATGCAGGTAATTTGTTCCCTGACTAATTTGTGGAGATGGTTGTGTGTATGTGAGTGAGTGTGAGAGTGAGTGTGTGCCTGTGGAGAGTAAGTTCTGAAAACAGCTTGGTGGAATTGGATTTCCTCAAAGCCTTGTCATCGCAAAGGTGGATTGAGTGTAAAATCTGTAAGGCATTATGGAAAATTGCAGGGGAGAGAGAAGAGAGAGTGAAAGAAAACGGGTGCATGGGTAGGTGGTAGGTGGTAGGTGGAGGGGGGGCCCCGGGTTGTGGGAATACTCTTATATCACAAAATCATACTGCGTTGTTGTAACTAAAGGTACATGTGTTGTCGACCTTTTTTTGGACTGATGTCCACATCGCATTTCTGTCTTTTAAACTTCAATCTCAAGGACAGTTCAAAGGTCACCAATCCATCAGTAAGGCTGATGGACAGCTGATCAGTGATGCTTATATATCACCCATCAACCGAGATGTGCAATGCCGATTTTCCACAACAGCACTTTCTCCTACCTGTTGCCATTTTGAATAAACACAGTGTTACAAAAATCTCTCATATGGGGGTTTTTGTAGACGTGTTCCCAAAGTTTTGTAAAACAAGTAAAATGCAGGAAATTTGCTCGTTTATCCAGCTTGTGTAATTTTGTTGCACCACAGTATGCACAAATAAATCTAAAACAGGCACAGGGCATCAAAGCCTGAAGTATTTGGGCTGCTCCAGTTACTCCAGTTGTTTTTCCATCGCTGGCATTGAGTCTTTCAATCCTTTTATGCAAAATCATGATTTTAACATCTTCTTTACATCTCAGGGAACAGACACTATAGTACTGTTGCATTTTAGTAAGCCAATGCACGGTGTTATCCACAAATGTTCCTAAATCTTAGGAAGCAATTGCCTGCCTGCTATTGCAAATAATCAAAGGGCCTGATCAACATCAGTAACAAACCAGCTTTCAATTTTCCATCCCACAATGCAGCTCTTCACTGTTTCAACATATCGCACAACAAGACACAATTAGCATTTCAGATCAGAGCATTAACATTCAGTTCCAGGCAGGCAGACTGGTATTTACATAATCTGGATGGGTTGTCTCTGCTTTGGTGCCCATGGCCATTTGTTTCAAATGTCCACACACAGACAAATACAGACTTTAGGTTCAGTTCAGCCACTACCGACTGTTGAGGCAAAAAAAAAAATAATAATAATGTGTAGAGGCTGTTGTGACAGAATGCTTTGTAAATATTGTAGGCAGGCTGTCTGGTCAGGTGTGTATAACTTTGGACTTTATAAATGGTCGTAAGGCATTATAAGGAGGACTTTTAAATAAAATGTCAGACATTGTCTTCACTACAGATATTTTATACGACATGTACACATAGTTCTTTAGTTTGCGTCATGTCAACCTCACACATCATAACTTAAAGCTGACTTTATTTTTTTCTTATTAGGAAAAGTAGCTCTGCATATTTGTGGCGAAAAATGCAGAAAGGTTTTCAGTGTGAAAACTACTTTGCTGTTTAGGGAAAGGATGTAGAGTGTGCCTAGCGGGAAAAAAAGTTACCATCGGAAACCGACTTTGCTGACCTGCTCCTGAGGTAAGATACATTTTATTTTCTGGATAGACCTCTTTTTAAGCCTGAAAAGCAAAGGTGGCAAACAAGGGATATTATCATTTACAATGCCTCTGGGTCATGGTTGTTCAGTCTGTGTCTGAAGATCTACAGAATCAACAATGTTGTAAAACCCAAGCCACTCCATTAACAATGACTAAAGGGCAATAGGGACGGACACAACTTTTTACATTGTACATCCAATTTCACAGCAGCACCAGAAACGCATTATTACCCCTATATAACAAGCTGGGCATCTTAACTGTCTACTTCAACATAATTCTTTGTGGAGTTATTGTAGCAGTGCATGAGCATGACAACACAGATGAGGAAGTGTGATCAGTTTTGTTTTGCTGCAGGCTGTTGGAGACAGTGGTGCATGTTCACTGGCACAGACCAAAGTGTCCCAAGGCACAGGAGTGGCAGAGCTATAATGTGAAATATAATCTCAGCATTTTTTCCCAAGAGTTTCCAATTAAGCAGGAAAAGCACCAATGTTGGACTAAAGTGCAGACTGACTGACTTGCTTTTTAAATATTTATCTTCCACCAGATTCTGTGTGTTTGTTAAATGTCATTGTACCGGGACACAGATGTACAGATGCTGTACATAAGCATCGTGTTGTTGCTACAGCGCCATCAAGTGATCAGTCCTGGCAACCAAACATCTCAATCTCATTCTGTTTATTCATCGCTCTCTTAAACTGGGAGAAATTACTTTCATTGCAGGTGACTTAAACTTAGAGGTTTCTTTAAAATGTGACATTTAATAAATGGCATTTAATGTCTCCTCCTCCCTACAATATAGTGAGATACATTTAAGTAACCAGATATAATGTGTTTTTATGTTAGGGTTGTAACATATTCATATTCCAGTAAAAGCTTTGTGAACCTTAGTAGATGGTTATTTTCACAAAACATGCCCAAATGGGAAAAACGGGTCCAGATTATTACTTATTAAACTATATTTTCAGTCGGACCTTGGAGTTGATTACGCACGGCGCGGTCAGAGAGCCAGGAGAGGACAGGACAGGACATAATTCGCTCCTATTTTTATCTGCGTATCCATAAATATGATTTTCTTAGCACGGCCACGGTTTGAATTAAAGCATGATTCACATACACTGCATTGACGTGTGTAAAAGGTACATCCTGTTTACAGAATAAGAAAAACGCCTGCGGCAAAATTACTCCACAATGGCGTCTTTCATTAGAAGATCTGCGGCAGCCAGGAAATAGAAATGTTTCACGACAAAACTGACTTCAAAAATACTTCATAAAAACGACAAACACACATTTGAGTAAGTTATGAGCAAGTTGTACAGCAACAGCGACACGGAGACGGCGATGTGTTAGGACCTGAAACGCGCCAGAAGCGAATTCACACGGTGGACAAGTAGAGTGTTTGCTCGACAAGATCGCAGTCTAATCCGCTGTTCATTTACACCAGATGTATCGAAGCCTCGTATATCGCAGTCACGCGCATACATTTGCACAGTAACTAAGAAACAATTGCCAGGAAGTGGTTAAATAATTTTTAAAGAAGTGTACCGCTCGAATCGCTTGGCACATGCGTAAAAGCTGCTGTGCCTCAATGTCCCAGTCCACCCAGCCTCGGAAATAATAGCAAACCAAATAAATCTCCGCTTACCTGATACATAGAGAGGCATAAAGTATCTTTTTGTGCACCTTTTCCGTCCGATTTGGCCCACGAGCTGCTTCTCTTCCTACACCAGTGAGAAATGCAATAGCTTGGCTAAGGTAGACAGAACAAAATACAGAGAATACTTGCTCCAGGGCTCCGAAACCCCTCAAGGCAAAGATCAGGATACAATTAGCTCATGTCTCTGCCCCAGTCTAAACCAATCTGCAGGATACAACTCCAAGCAAGGGAACAGATCACAGCAGCAGTAGGCTACCTCAGTGTTTGTTGAGTTTATGTTTTTATAAAATAAAATAAAGAAATCTTTTTTTTCTGCATTTACAACACCCTCACTCCTCCTGCCTCTAACTTGCCTATTGCCTCCCTCTCGCAGAGAAGCTGATTTTAATCGTTATGATTAGTTTTGATGTAACATTCCCCCGGGCGATTGCTACAAATGGATGGAGTGTTTCTCTGCCAGGGAGGAAAAGCAGCAGATGATGATAATTATATAGATTGTTGGTGGAGTCCTTTGATTTTTTTTTTTTCCTACTCTCAAACATCTAATCTATCTGGTGTGCTTCTTTAACACATGCCATCCACGCAGCATCAGGCAACTTGTTGATTAGCCTGGAATCAACTTATTAATTTAATGGAATGTGGTTAATGAAATTCTCACTCTTTTCATTCTCTTTCCTCCCTTTGGACAACCTCCAAATGACGTAGTTGTAGTTGTATAAATAAGCACTTGCAGCTTGCCTTGCCCCAATCAAGTCGGAATCAGTGCCTGAGGGTGATGTGCGAGCTCATTTCAAATGTTCAACCATGCATGATTTCAGGAAGATTGAGGCACTTCTGAGGCTTTCAGATTTACTTGGCGAATGCAGTCAGCAAAGGAAGCACATGTTTAATGTCAGTCCTTTGTAAAATTCCTCCATGGGAACATGCATAATTATTCTGTCTGAGTCAACAGTGTTACTCCGTGCACATCTGGACTCGACATTTATTTACATTCTCAACAGTTATCCTCTTCATACACAGTGAAATAAGGATGAAATACCTGCTCGTGCGCCCCCTACTGTTGAGATGATCAACTTTTTCAACTGCAGCTCTTTGAGCAAATCAATTTTGAAATTTGAACCCAACTTTAAAAGCAGGAAAAAACACAAAGAAAGTACATTAATTTGACATAAATATTTACAAACATTCTGTGTGCTTTAATGTTCAGCCAGACAGAAAACTGAATCCAAGTTTGTTCTCAAGTTTAGGCAGCATTGGAACGACAAAACCACGTCAAGGAACCAGAAACTGATGGATGCAAGTATACAAACAAAAACATTTTCCAGTTCTTTTCATCAAAAGATTTTCCCTCTCACAGCATCTTTGTGGATGATAAACAGAATCGCTTTTGATCGAAGGCCAGCTATCCCTTGCTCATTCTATCCAAGGACCATTAAACTTTCCACTTTTTGACCTGCATGTCCCACAGGAAAACAAACACAGGATTAAAGTGTTACAATGAAGTTATGTGCCCCTGAGGTACTGGCTGGCGCATGATACACCAAGCCTCAACTATCATCCCACACACACGCACACACACACATTTTTATGCCATTAGTCTGACAAACTGTAGTGAACGGAGAACGCCCCAGGCCTTAAAATCCCATGCGTTATCCATTTTCCACACAAATGGAGCCCATTCATAATGGGATCCTTCAAAATATGCATCAGATGTTGTTGAAGCTAACCAGTGGAGATCTTTGAATACATGTGGTGGTTGATACCAAAAAACAAAGCAATTGTTCTAAGGCTGCTGTGGAAGCGACACTTTTTCCTTAGATCAAGACCTAACTGCAACAGCAGGCGAGCTCTGGCTGGCTGCGCCATATTTTGGTGGACAAATTATCCAGATTGGTTACAGATGTGAGTTTGCCCCAAACAGAAACTGCCTTGCCTGAATGACATCATAGGGATATTAATGCATACACATGAGAGAAAAGCTCTGGAAAACCTATTCTGCTTAAGGGAATTTTGGAACGGACTCAACAAAAGCTAGTTAGTTTGGTGATCTATATTTTTTGTCATATTTTAAACACTTGAAGCAAGAATATGTCACATAATATTGCTCTTATAAATAAAAAGTTCCTAAAAATTAAAACACTTTCCCAACTCACTGCACTATTTCCAGCTACAGCCTAACTTGGTGTGGTATGACCTGTAGCTTATGGTGGCTAATGTTAGCAAACATGAAATATATCAATATATATTTATTTGCAAAAACAGAAATCTCTGTAACTTACTCCATGTTTGTTTGACTGTTTAATCCAGGCATTATCAATCAAACTGGTGTTGGTTCATCCAAGACATAAGAATGATGTGTAGCCTATCTGTTTTTGCTATTGAACTCTTATTATGTTGGTGTCACAACCGAGACACAGTCAGACACAACTGAGTTTTGACTCTTCTTTACTTGTGCTACAATTACACTGCATTTTAGCATTTAAAATGAACCTGTACAATTTACCAAGGTGGCTGCAGATAAGCAAAACTTTAGTTTCAAAGTTTGAATATGACACAATTTCAACAGTAAAATAAGCACCTGTTTCATCATTATCAATTTAACAATAAAATTGTCTAGACGTTCTGATATGTAGTTATGTATTTTAACAGCTAGAAGAATAGATAATGATTTGCTCTTTATGACCTTACATAGTGTTAAAGTGTGAATAACCATTGCATATACGGATAGACATCAGCCTTCCTTTTTTCTCACAGAGTAGTCAGCATGGGCTAAGAGAGATGTTGGTTCCACCTCAGTCCATGTTAACAACTGCGTCTATACTCGCCACACCCCTCTAATGGCCTGTTGTTATGTAAGGGAGTGGGATGTATAAGGAAGAGTGCTGAAGCTGCTCCCGAGCCTGACTCAATATGCCCTGCAGGGTTGCACAATTTTAGGCCAGAACTGTTCATCAAACATTATCTTTGGCACAATGAAATGGAGCTCTAGAGAATTACTCCAATGGAGCCCATACAATCAAGGTTGTCATTTAAAGGCTAAACATTAATAATGGTAATCATTTTATGACAGAGGAGCTCCTTTGTTCATTTTAGCAAACGGTATACTGTGCACTTGTGTCTTTGTTCATGCTTGTTGTATGCAGACTCTGTGGAGCTGTGCATGCACATGTCTCTGACTCACTCTTACAATGGGGTTATTACCAGTTACAGAGCAAGCATGGCACACCCGTCAGAGTCCATTGTGCTCATGAAATAGTTTCTTTTTTTTTTTACAAAAGAAATCAAGATTTTGTAATGAAAAGTCACTTCTTTCTGTAACTTAGAAAAAGATGGGGATGCCCTTTGTTTGGGATTACTTACATCCCCTTTCTTTGATTTACCTTTCAGCCCCGAATCCACCGGTCCCACCCACAGTGGACAGAGAAGTCGGTGACACTACCATGAGGTGAAGAGAGACAAGAGGAGGGGGCTGCTTGGGTAATGCTGGGAGGCTCTAATAAAATGTAATCCTATTATATGGTTCCCACTAGAGGGCAACAATAATAAAGGTTTCCCTAATAACACGAGCAGACCAAACTCAAATGGAAAACAGCTCCTCCGGTCAAGTCCCACACTTGTACATATATCCTCTCATTAACCCAATTGCTGTTGGGCCACATTACACCGACAGGCCTTCGAGATTTAGCTGTGATGGCGAGGCAAGAGTTAAGTCAAACAAATGTGTTTCATCAAACTGCAGTTTGGGCTTCTCTGCATAAAGGAATTGAAGGGGGGAGGAGGAGTGAGGGAATGTGTGCGGGTGGGAAGTTGGAAGGAGGCCCCGAGGAAACCAATCAGAGCTTATCCACCCGCCCCTCCTGAGTCAAAGCCACCGGGGTCTCAGGTGTGTGTTACATGAGCTAATACCTTCCAAACTTGATTGTTTGTGTTAGAGTAATCAGAGTTTGGCAAATTACAATTTTGGAAATGATAGTCCTATCATTGGGGAACAAAATCACGGTACAATAGAGGAACACCACAAACTTGAAATAAGACTTGATAGTTTAGCAAACTTACAAATGATGAGGAAGTTTAATATTTCCTCGTGGGCCTGAGCTAAATGAAATATGTCTTAGTAGTAAAGTTACAAAAAGCTGGAATTTTATCATATCAGCTTCTTTACGAGCTGTTTCGAAGTGACTTTCTTTCACTAATATTAACAAGAAATGGCAATATCCCTACTGGAAAAAGACACAAACTCTCATATTTATATAATTTGATAATGTAATGAATGAGTTATTCCACTTTCTAGCTATCTTGCATAAATGCAGTGAAATATTTATCATAAGTGACAAGGTGAGTGAGAATATCAATCATATTCTCGAGACAGCTTGAGTTATTAAGTGAGCAATGTAATAGTATTACAAAACCCAGAATAACAAAGTTATTTATCTCTCTTTCTGTGTGTGTGTGTGTGTGTGTGTGTGTGTGTGTGTGTGTGTGTGTGTGTGTGTGTGTGTGTGTGTGTGTGTGTGTGTGTGTGTGTGTGTGTGTGTGTGGTGTGTGTGTGTGTGTGTGTGTGTGTGTGTGTGTGTGTGTGTGTGTGTGTGTGTGTGTGTTGTGTGTGTGTGTGTGTGTGTGTGTGTGTGTGTGTGTGTGTGTGTGTGTGTGTGTGTGTGTGTGTGTGTGTGTGTGTGTGTGTGTGTGTGTGTGTTTACGTGTCTGACAGCATCAGACAGAGAGAGAGAGAGAGAGTGTCGCATGCCTTCCTGTTCCTGTACCACCCTCCAACCCCAGAGCCGCAGACTCAAGGCAGTTTCCAGAATCAAACAATTTCACGCAGCTACTGGAGGAGGAAATGAACTGAGCCCAGAGCAATAATAAAATTATACAAATGTTATTACAGACTCGCCTGCTACTGTCCTACTTTAATTCAAATTTGGGCACTGCAGGCGGTGCTGGTGGCAGAGACCTTCCTGAATAAATCAACATTAGCTTACGTCTAAATTATTAAGGAAGTGGGAGACTTTCTTGTTTATAGTATGAATTATTAAACAAGTGTTTAACGCTGTTTTTCTTCATGAATCCCCAAATATTAATTGCTAATGATCTTTAAGGTGTGTGTTTTATCTTTTCCCCCTTCTGTTGTATGCTGGGAATTGAAAATCTGAATTTTCAAGTCACAAGAAATCTGCTATTAGTTAGATAAGCATGAGATGCACTTCAAGATATACTTTGCTGGCATCTGTAAGATGTGCAAATGAAGCCCAAGTCATAACAATAATCCCATCATATAGGCATTGTTGGTATTTGCAATGACTGTGAATGTAGATTTA